ATGTTCCTAATGTATCACAGTGTGTATTTCAATGTGTAGTCCTTTGTTCTTTAAGGAGGGGAGTATAAAAACTGAAGTCTAATCACGCCCTCCTCGTTCAGAATTGCCTATCTCTAATATGCTCTGGACCTTGCGCAATTAAACTTCTCTGCTAACCCCTCCGGAATTCGTAAGAGTTCTTTCGTTTTCCACAAGAATGGGGCACGAGGGCGGAGTCTTGTCCCCGCTGCCCGGCTGCCATGTCCTTGACTGTGCTGCTCCGCGTGGGCCATGCCCGGGCGCGACTCTCCTCTGGGGGGCTGCTGGGGAGGAGGGGGCCGCGGGGGAGGTGCGGCTGGGGCGACGGCACGCGTGCCCACAGAGAGGGCTCTGAGTGCCGCCTCTGGCACTCATGCCATAGGTTCGCCTCCACTGTCCTAGGCAGTAGACACATGGCAACTTGGGTTAAAGATTACTCTGCATAACCTCCACATTGTATTTTTGATTTGCAGGGTGACAATCCAAATCTTAACCACAAGAAGTTGGGATCTGAATATTTCATGCTGTAAGATGTGTTGGAAGCAACTGGACAAGGTCAAATGATCTTCATTTATTTGTTACACTTATATCCCACCCTTCGCCCCAGAAACTCAAGATCGCATATCTAGCCATATATTCAGTTTCCCCAAAAATGACTCTACAAGGGACCTTAGGTCGAGAGACCAAGGTTGGCCCAAAGTCAACCACTCTATCTCCATGCCTGAAGGTATCTTTCACCCTCAGTTTCTCTAGTCTTAGTCCAATATCTCAACTGCTCCTCTACCTTACCTCACAATATTAAGAAAGAAGAAAGATAGAAAAAAGAGAAAACAGAATGAGGTTTTCAAGGCTCTCTGGAAATCACAAGGAAAAAAATCTTGCTTGGGAACATAGTAAAAAAAAATATTGCTAAGACGTACTTGTGCCCTGGGCAAGTGAGGAAAAGCCCAGAGGATGTAAAGCAGGGGTCTTCAAACTTGGCCCTTTTATGACTTGTGGTCTTCAACTGCCAGAATTCCTCAGCCAGCATGCCTGGCTGAGGAATTCTGGCAGTTGAAGACCACAAGTCATAAAAGGGCCAAGTTTGAAAACCCCTGATGTAAAGGAAGATTTTGAAATGAGCCAGCTTTTTTCTAAGGCATGCCGGCTGGGGAATTCTGGGAATTGAAGTCCACATGTCTTCAAATTGCTGGGGCTGAGAAACACTGGTTTAGGTCCACTAAACAGAAGAAACCAGAGGAAATAAAATCAGGGAAAGATTTACATAAGTCCCAAACCTATCCAGTCAAGCATTCCTAGGGAACTAAATGTCTTTAGGAAGTCCGCAGACAGGATTGGAGGACAACCATCTCCCCTGTTATTATTGATTTATATCCAGAGGGACTCTGTATGATTTTGAGATGTGTGGGCTACATTTCCCAGAACTGAAGACTGCTCTATGTAGCAAATAGACGCTGAGCTTTTTAGTTGGCACTATTAGTCATTATTAAATGAAAAACCTTCCTATGTAACAGAATAACAGAGTTGGAAGGGACCTTAAAGTTCTTCTAATCCAGTGTTTCTCAACCTTGACAATTTTAAGGCATGTGGACTTCAACTCCCAGAATTCCATAGCCAGCATTGCTGGCTGTGGAATTCTGGGAGTTGAAGTCCACATGCCTTAAAATTGTCAAGGTTGAGAAACACTGTTCTAATCCAACCCCCTGCTCAAGCAGGAGACCCTATACCATTCTGGACAAATGGCTGTCCAATTTCTTCTTAAAAACCTTCAGTGTTGGAGCACCCACAACTTCTAGAGGCAAGTTGCTCCACTGATTGTAATAAAAGTCTGAACATTACTCCTTAGTTCTAGGCTGCTTCTCTCCTTGATTAGTTTCCATCCGTTGCTTCTTGTCCTGTCTTCAGGTGCTTTGGAGAATAGCTTGACTCCCTCTTCTTTGTGGCAGCCCCTGAGATATTGGAACACTTAAGACATTTTTGGAAAGTAAGTGGATAACTGTAATCTCTTTCCCAAGAGCCATTTAGCTGTGAGGCAGCTGCTGTATGGTTTCTGTGCACCTCCAACATTGTTTTCTCTATATTCCCATTGTTGGGAGTGGAGAAACTTAAGCTTTGTGAGGCAAAATAATCTGGAAAACAGGAGCTGTGTTAATCCCAATTATCCAGGATGTAATGCCCACTTAAGCATGCTCACTAGTATAAACTACTTTCAAGTCATATAAACTGAAAATAACAGGTCCAATTTATATTTTTTAAAATTAACAAGTCACAACCACATCAGGAAGTAAAAACTCTCACAATCTGGTAGTACCAAAATCCAACGAACATGCATTACACTTTTGAATGAGGTTTGGCCTTGGGCTTCTGCCATTTCCCCATATAGCATCAGCAGTATCTAGAAACCTAATTCAACAGCCCAAAACACATTTTAGGCAGGCATTAATCACAAATATAAAAGTCACAGATACAGCAGTAACAGCCAGATCAAGCTACTTGATCTAAAACCCCTGACTTGCAAACTGACATTAAGAAGACGCATCGCATTCTTTAACAAATTGATGGCACCTTACTAAACTTCTAACAATTTAAAGTAAAAGGCAAAAATCCGAATGACCAAGAGATACCCAAAACATTAAAGGTGCTGTAGGTATGGAGAATCCTGATGTCCAGCAGATGGCATCAAATCTATCTTCCTAGCCAGACACCCTCCAAAAGCATTGGACTACAACTCCCACCATTCCTCAGCCTACATAACCAATATTCACTCTGTCGGCCGGCCCTACCGATGGAGGTTATGAGCAAGCACACCTGGAAAATATATGTTACAAGCTGGTTCCGTATGGCTCAGATTATAGCCGCAAGCCACCACAGCACAATACGGATGTCAGCTGATGCCCACTTCCTTAGAAAGGCAATGATGACTTTAGCAGGACTTACTTCAGGATTCTAAAGGATCATTGAACAAATCAATCCAGAGTTCTCACTTGAGGCACAAATGATCCTACGGTCGGGCACATTATGTGAGGACCTGGATCCCTGGAGAAGTCTGTAATATTGGGAAGAGGTGGAAGGAAAGAGAAGAAGAGGATGACCAACAGCTAAGTGGATGGACCAAGCTACCGTGGCCACGGGTGCAATGTTGGAAAGACTTATCAGTGTGGTCGCTGGGAATTGGGAAGAGGTGGAAGGAAAGAGAAGAAGAGGATGACCAGCAGCTAAGTGGATGGACCAAGCTACCGTGGCCACGGGTGCAATGTTGGAAAGACTTATCAGTGTGGTCGCTGGGAATTGGGAAGAGGTGGAAGGAAAGAGAAGAAGAGGATGACCAGCAGCTAAGTGGATGGACCAAGCTACCGTGGCCACGGGTGCAATGTTGGAAAGACTTATCAGTGTGGTCGCTGGAGTCGAAAACGCTTCGATGGCAGTAATCGATACAGAGAACCAGGGGACACGTAAACGGGATGACACGGGATTCCACCTGCTCCGACCTCTCTGCATAGCGGCTCCACCTCCAAAGGAGGGATGCGGCGAAGGTTTTCCCTCCGGGACGCCCCGAGGCCGCCCTCCCCATTTCTGCAGGCAGGAAAAGCTGAAGCCCCCACCCCCCCCGGTGCCACCGAATGGCCAACCCAGCTTCGAAGACAATCCCCCTAAAAAACACGTGTTTTTTTTCTGACCCACCGCCCCACGCCTCGCTCGGGGGCTCCAAACCTACCTTGCCTCTCCCCCGCTCGCCCCTCGGGAGAGCAGCGCGAGCCAACGGGGGAGGCCAGGAAGTGCAGCGCCCACTTTCGCGCACACCAGGCGACTCCCGGGTCCGCCGCAGTTCAGCGCTCCTCCCCTCCCTTCCTTGGCGACCGCAAGATCGCCATCAGGGGGCCGACCCTTCCTCTCTCCGCCAATGATATCGGGCTCTGTCCGATGACATCATTCCCTTCTCCTTCCAGCGACCAATAGGCGGGCTCCGTCCGGTTCCCCTCGGAGCAGCACCTGTCAAGGCGCTTAAAGAGGCAGCGGAGGCGATCGGTTGCGCTCCTCTGCAGTCGCGAGGGCAGGAGGTGCTGCCGGAAACGGGATTATATTTCATCCTCCATTTAAAAACAATCTGGACAAAACAATCCTGTGGGCTATTGAACACAGTCTTCTGGTTCTGAGCCCAAAACGCCTCGGGGAGCTCATAATCCTGTCTTTTCCACTATGTTGCCCTGCAGAGTCGTTGAATTTATTATTATTATTTAATTCTCTGCCTTTTTGGGAAAGATGTAGAAGACATAAGATTTAGGCGGGGGTGCATAAACACTGTCGCCAGTAGCCTTTGCTTAACTTAACATCTCATGCATTTAAAAGTAAAATCTGCATTTTGCGGTTACTGCCAAGTAAACTTTTGCTTGACACGAAGCAGCTGTGCAAACATCAAGTTTGGGTATGTAAATATGAATTTGGGCGAATTTGGGCCTCAATTTCAATAGTAGAAATATCTTCCTCATTGTAAAATGGACGGGGGAATCCCAT